AAATATAATTATTTAAATTAGATTTGCTTTTGCATATAAAAAATTCTAATTTGCTCTAATTAAGATGAAATAGATTTTTTTTGAAAACCTATTTTGGTGGCATGTATAGCACTGACTAATACCAGCTTGCCTTCCTTCATATAACTTATATATTATACAAGTGTCTAGTAATCCTTCCAGATATCTGATAAACCTTGATTACAGATTACAAATCTAACTGATAGTCAAGAGACAGTAACTGAACACAAATGAAATATTTGAATTTCATCATCAGTAGAAATTGAACTCTAAACATGCTACTTGAAGATGCAACAACTTTACTACTTTACTAAGTTGCCACACACCCATCAAATTTAATAGTCCAAATTTTAGATTATACAAGATTTTGGGTATATAGCACCGATGGTCTCTTCATATAAGACAACGGTCCCCATAAAAAATAGAGCACGGGATTTATGGTCAAGCACAGGGAATATAACAGGACAGTGCGCGGAAAAAGGTGCGAATTTCGTGCAACAGTGCACGTAATAGCGTGCTTTTTTACGTGTTTTTCCCAATTAGTTACGTATGTAGCCGTTCACTGTTTCGTGCACATAAGGAAATTTCGTGCAATTATATGTTCGTCGATTTTGCATGCAGATTCCGCGCAACTGATCTGAATTCCATGTTTTGAACGTGCTATATTTCGTGCTGACATGTGCACGCACGTGTAAAAACTTCTTATAGGAAGTCTGCAATATTCGCATAATATGTTTGTAGCGTTTATTTCATACCCTATAGCCCGTCATATGATGGCGGTCTCTAACACTAGTTGATTTATTAACATTAGACCAACCATCACTAACTAAGCAACGGTAAGGCGATTCATCAAGAATATCTTGAACGACTATTTGTGAACTCGTATATTCATCATTAAGAAGTGAATTAGAAAGTTTATAACGTTTAAGGAAAGCACCAAATCTTCATTTTCAATAAATTGAATGAAATTCCTGAAGTAAAAAAAGCACGGGCAAGGATCCTAATTCCATTTGATCTTGTTCAGCAAAATTGTTTGAGAATGCACCGGAAATTTCATTTGACATTGAATTTCTTAAAGCACACGCTTTCAAATGTTCTTGTAATCGGGTGGCATTTTTTACCCATTCCTTATTACATGCTTTGCATTTGTAACGCTCTCTTCCATTTTCGTCAATATTTCAATGTTTTTATTTTGTACCATTGTTAATTCCACTATTATTGATTGTAAGGTTTTTTATTGTTCTTATTTAGTTTACCTGTTTGATATTATGCCTTTACGCTAACAATGCTTTTCCTTCTACGCCTTCAACCACAGCACACACTACCACTAATTGATATTATGCCTTTACGCTTTTACTTCTAGGCTTTCAAACACAGCACACACCGTCACAGTTTGTTATTACACCTTTAAGCTGTTTTTTCTATGCCTTTAACCACGACACCGTTTGTTATAACGCTTTACGCTAACAATGCTTTTCCTTTTCCTACGCCTTCAACTACACAACCGCAGCACACACCACTAGACGACGAGACTTGTATATTCGCCTGTGAAAAAAAAGAAATTTGTTTATCGCCTTTTACTTTATTTAACTACGTCTATGATTACGCGTCAATATTATATTTCATGCACAAACTACATACAATAGACTCCGCATAAGGTTTTCATGTGATTTAGCTAATCACATATGAATTTTGAAAACTATTTACTACGGCCGTTAGCCACTCGACAAATTGTCTTTTACAGTCTATTTTGCCGCGTCACAAAGTTCCGATAATTTATTTATTGTAGGCCTGTGCATATCACTCTTATACGCGACATGGATTCCAAGCCAAACGTTCAGGAGCAAAAAATTACTCCTTGGGAGGTTGAAGGCGCTACGATCGATGGTAAAACTCAAGCGATTGATTATGATAAACTAATCGAGAAATTTGGAACCCATCATATCGACGAAGAACTCCTAAAAAGATTTGAGAGTTTAACCGGAAGAAAATGTCATGTTTTTCTCAGAAGAGGCTTCTTTTTTTCACATAGGTACGTTTTGTTCTTTATTTTGTATATCATTGTTCAAGCCAATATCACATAGTAAGTTATTGATCTATTTATAAATCTAGAGAGCTTACACGTATTCTAGATCGTTTCGAACAAAAGAAACCATTCTACCTCTATACAGGGCGTGGTCCAAGTAGCGCAAGCATGCATCTTGGACATATGATCCCGTTCATTTTTTGCCAGTAAGTTATTTCTTGATCTTTCTTTTACGAGAAATATATGATAAAAAATTAATTCATTTAGATGGCTGCAAGAAGTTTTTGATGTTCCAATTGTCATTCAGCTGACTGGTCAGTGTTCATTACATTTATTAATTCTTAAATGATATTTAAGTTTTCTTAGCATGATGAACTGACTTGTTATCAGATGATGAAAAATTCCTTTTCAAGTCTGACCTATCATTAGAGAAGGCGCGTCAATTTTCATATGACAACGCAAAAGATATCATCGCGTGTGGTTTTAAATTAGAAAAAACATTTATCTTTTCCAACCTTGATTATGTCGGGTCGGTAATCGATTTAGTTATTTCCTCATGACTTTTTGTTGCATCTAGTTTATTAACCATTAATACCATAATGCACATTTAGTAATGCATTTTATCACAACATCGTAAGAATCTCAAAGTGCATTACTGCTAGTCAATCCAAGGCTACCTTTGGTTTCAATGACAGGTGAACTTCATCATTGTATGTGCATTATTGATCGTATTTTAAATATAATGTTTGCCAACATTTCATTTCATTTAAGTGATTGCATCGGAAAACTACATTTTGTTGCTGTACAAGCCACACCATCATTTTCTAACAGTTTCCCACAAATATTTGGCACGCGTTCTGATATACCTTGTTTAATCCCGTGTGCTATTGATCAGGTTAGCCGAATATTATTTATAGTATTATTGAAAAATGACAAAATTCAACAATCTAATATTTCTTATTCAGGATCCGTATTTCCGGCTGACACGTGACGTTGCACACAAACTCAAGTATCCAAAACCCTGTCTAATTCATGCTAAATTTTTTCCCGCGCTTCAGGTAAAATTTATCGTAGATATAAACTTACAATAGAGTTATCATCATGATTTATTGCTATGATTTAGGGTCCTCATACAAAAATGAGCGCATCTGTAGATAACTCTGCGATATTTATG